ATGACACCATGAGTTGCTGCGGTGGGTGACACCAACCCTAGGGACACCACTGCACCATAGCACAAAATTTTTAGTGTCTTGTTTATAATAGTGAATTATGGTAGTGGTGGTAATGATGTAGATGTAGCTATTCAATTAGCTCAGGTATTGGCCCGTGGCTGGTCCTGGCGCCACCACCACTGCAACCCCGCGCACGCTTGTGCACTGTGCGCAAGCACGGGCACCATTTGGGCTTCCAAAATGGCGCCCACGCTCACATGCACATGCACACGGTGGCAGGCGCCATTTTAGAAGACCACACGGCGGCTGCGCATCTGCTGTTGGACCTTGGGAAGGCTGCACCGCGGCTGTGCCAGGCAAATTCACCCGGTGCAGACACGGGGGGGCTTTCCAAGGCCCAGGGAAGCCCCCCCCATGCCTGAGTTGGGTGAATTCGCCTGCCGCAGGTTCAGGGGGGCCTTTCCAAGGCCCAGGGAAGCCCCCTTGCTCCTGAGCCAGGTGAATTTGCCTGCTGCAGGTGCAGGGGGGCTTCCAAAATGGCGCCCACATTGCGCATGAATGCGTATGACACTGGCGGTCATATGCCCACCCACGCCATTCCCCCCCTCCTAGCCCCCCGGCAAAAAAGGTTGCCGGACCCTGAATTTGCTTTTAAAATATGCCTATGTTGAAGGGAACAAGAATATAAAATAATCCTACCAGTGTAATTCTTTGAAGCTTTGTCTCAGTTACAAAATAATTATTTTAATTATGTATTGTTCAAACTGCCTATTTAATAATTATAGTAAGACTTGAAACACTGATCTCAACATTTTCCTTGACAGAGCTGTCCTCTCTGACCCAAGGATCTTAACTTTTAGCACTATGGGGCAACACAGGGCCTTTACAGACCAGCCTAAAGGGCATGCCTGGGGTGAGGTTGGGGCAGGGCAGCTGCACACTGGCCACCCCAACCCCACCCTGACATTGTCCTGATACCACACACCCGTCTGTACGGCGCACGGCGTCAGGATGCCCTCCTGG